ATGAGAGAGAGAGAGGGAGTTGGAGGAGAGAAGGGATTCTAGGTTTAGGGATTGGGTTGGGGATAGGTGGAGCTCGTGGCTGAGGAGGAAGGAGTGGGCGGCGGTTGTGGCGGAGATGAGGAGAGGGATTGCTCCGGTGAGGGTTTTGTTGTTGTTGTTGTTGTTGTCGCGGTGGTGGTCGGAATGGGGCTTGATGATGAGATTGGAGTGGGTTTTGGTTTTGGGTTTCTTCTTCTTTACTTTTCTTCTGCCGCGGCGTCTCTTGGTGGCGCCGCCGGCGGTGGCCATTCTGCCTAGTAAATTGTTGTAGTTCTTCCTATTTTGGATCTTGGGTTTGGGTGAGTGACAGATCACTTCATCAATTATATTCTTAGTTCATTCTTTTTTTCTTTTTTTCTTTTTTTTTCTTTATTTTTTTTTTAATTTTTTTTAATTTAATGTAAATGATTTATATTATTCTATCTAAGTGCACTAGATATATGGTTTATATTATTTTACCTAAGTGAAGTGTGAACTAACTCAAAACTTATTGCATTAAGAAATTGTACGTTCAAGTCAAATGATTCTGTATACTTCGAATGGGGATTATACCCTCAAGACCTCATTTGTATACTTCGAATGGGGATTATACCCTCGAGACCTCATTTCAAGTCCAACTTTCTTGACTGCTGGAAATTTCCCCGAGCACCGATCTTTTGCTGGAGATGATGAATTCGACGAACGGAAAATATAAATTGAAAGAGACAGAGAATTTGGAAGAGAGTATTAATCAAAGTGTTATTAATTGTTGAGCAACGTGGTCTTAATCGGGTTTATTACAAGGTTTTATATAGGAAGATTTTTCTAATTATTTTTTATTTTAACTCGCCTAAATAAGGTCGAGATTTACATTGTTTGATTTGCTTTTCTAATCTATCTGGAGTTTTAAAATCACACGTCTTGCTCTTTCAACGGCTCTTCACCAGCTCGACACCTACCACACTTTCCTCGGAATCTTCATTTCCCCGGCGAACTCTTCTTCAGGCGCCCTTTCTAGTAGCGAGCTCTGTTCTTTTCTAGTGACGAGCTCTTTATGGTTTATAACATCTGATAATGGACCTTCAGCCCCTTAAATCCCTTTAATTTTCATGGCTCACTTTATTTCGTCTTGAGGGCCCAATTTTGGGGGAAGTTTCGCCCAACCTTACCAAATTGACCCCCATCAATTTGTTATCTTAGAAACTATCTCTTTCTAATTTTGGACACCGATAACACAAGTTCACTACTATTAGTTCGGTAACATGAGTATATTTTTGGACAAAACATCTGAGAAATATATATCGCATTTAACTTGTATATTTGTATGATAATATCAATCATAATTCACTTTCAATCCATTTTGAATGGTATGACCTTCTATATACATGAAAATTTTGGCAGTATCCCTAATCGGTGTGGCCAATGAAACTTATATTTCGATATCCCTATTATTATTGTATAAACGTATATAATTTTCATCACATAAGATTTTTAGCAATTCAAATTAATTTTTTTTTAATTTTAATTATATAACTTCGTCAAAAATTTTAAAATCAAGAAAAACTAATTAACTTATACAATTCTTGAAAATTGAAAAAATAATATGCTGTAAGAACAACTCAAATGGAGTATTTAATTGCGTTATCAAAACACTTGACCACCATTTTGATATTCCAATTAAAATAATTTCACTTCAATGGAGCTATCGAATAAGGTTTGTATTTTGATAATTCACATATTGGGATGTAAAAGTACATCCTGGAGAAATAACAAATGGAAGTTACAAATTTAACCACCAAAATGACCACTTAAAAAATGACATGTGACAATTAAATATATAATCATTTTATGATTTTTATAAAAGTCACAACCCGGTGGAAACGCCGCATTAACATTGATTTTTATGCCTAGCAATGGAATTGCTCTTATTATTCAATTTTGAATTTCATTAAAGTATATAAAATATAATTTACCTAAAAATCAATTCACAATTTGTTAGCACCTACAGTCACTTCTCAATACAAAAATAATTGATGATTTGCTAGTGTCTACATTCACATCTGCAGTCCGCCGCAAATTAAAACTAACCTGATTATAACAATCAAACAGCAAAATTTAAATTTTAGCACATATCTTAAAAACAAATCAACACGCAAATTTTAATTAATTAATATATAAATTTGAACAAACAATAAAAATAATTGATAATTTGCTAGCAACTGTTAGATAAAAGGGGCACAAATGTTTATTTGGCCCAAAATTACTAACCCACCTTGTGCAGCCCACTCCCTTGGTGTCGGCCCATCAGCTCACTTAATGTCCAAGCAGATTCAATCTGGACCGTTGATTGATAAGTCTCGATCTGAGTCATCCATGCCACACACACATATATATTTTTTAGATTATGTGGTATGTGAGCCACTGTGTGTGTTCTGTTGTGGTCTATGTGCCACTCTTGCTTCTGTGTGAATCTTATTCTTCCGCTGCATATATATAAACTGCTCACTTATATATATATATATATATATATATATATATATATATATATATATATATATATATCTATCTCTCTCGTCTCTGTCTCTGACTGTCTATCTCTGTGAGTGACTCTCTCTGTCTCTCACTCTCATACACATATTCTCATATTGTCTTATTGAGTTATATATATATTTATTTCTTTTTTGTATAATTGTGAAAAAATTTTTTTATTTCTTGATTCTCCCTATACCTATTTATGGTTATATATCTATTTATATATTTATATATAGAGATAGAAAAGGATATATATCTATATAAAAATATGAGGCTCTGTGTCTCTCTATTTCGCTCAGGCGCAA